TGGGATGCCTGGGTTCTCGGGGGGGGTGGGGGTGGGTGTTGGGGAGGCTGGGAGCCCCAGACACCTGGGCTCTCTGGGGTGCGGGGTGGGAGCAGGGGGACCAGAAGCCCAGACACCTGGGTTCCCTGGGAGGGAAGCCACCCCAGCCCCTCCCGCCCCCGGCACTCACCCAATGAAGCAGTGCGCTGCCGTCAGCACCCAGCGCTCGGCCACCAGGGCCCCACCACACACATGCTTGCCCTCGAAGTGCAAGCTCACGTACCAGGGCCATGGCCCTTCAGGGGGCCCCTTCATCATGCCACAACCTGAGGGGTGCACCGGGATCATGAATCCACTTCCCCTGCCCAGCTTGGACACCCAGAGCCCAGCCCCCACTCCCCTCCCAGAGAGCCCAGGTGTCTGGGCACCCACCTTCCCATCTGTACGCACCCTTCCCAATCCCAGACCCAGGTGTTGGGCTCCCTCCCCCTCTGCTCTCACCCCGCTGCCCTCCCAAAGAACCCAGGTGTCCGGGCTCCCAGTGCCCCCTCCCCATACCTGAGCATTTCCCCTCCTCAGAGCTCTTTTGCGGTGGCCCCATCTGCTTGGCGAAAGCCGCCTCCCCCCCAGTGTGGTGCTGGATCCAGTCCGCATAGGCCGTGGCCTCCGTCAGAAGATTGGGGCTGTTGTCTCGGGCACAGCCAGCTGAGAAGCTGATGATCCCAGCCTGGAACCACGTCCCGTCCTCTTCGCACACCAGGGGCCCCCCAGAGTCACCCTATAGGAGCCAGGGAGCTTCAGAGCCAAGGAACAGGCTATATTGCCCTCTTTTATCTCCCCCCTCTCCTGCCCCTCTCACCTGACACAGCCCCTTGCCCCCCTTCTGGTACCCGGCACAGATCATCCCCAGCCTAGCTGGCCGGGCCAGTTTCTTCTGTCGGTTGTTGGCATAGATGCAGTTGCAGGTGTCGGCGCTCAGGAGGTCCAACTCCACCTTCTGGAGGGGCCGGTTTTGGGGAAGGAGAACTGTGGGGGGTCAGAGAGAGAGTTTGGGGCAGGTCAGAGCCCCTGGAGGTGGCGCATGGTGAGATGGGGGGTTTTGGAAGCAACAGGCAAAATGGCCACCCAATGAAACATTTCCATCCTGGCTGGCAGGATCAGAAACCCTCTACCCTAGCTGGCCATGGCCAAGATGGCTGCCCATCACTGTTGGGAGCTGGGCTCTTGGGAGCTCTCTATCCCAGTTGTCTGTGGCCAAGATGTCTGTCCAATGGACACTCTCCATTCCTATTGTGGGTTGGGGTTGTTGAAAGCCCTCTACTGTAACCACCCAATGGAGAGTCTCCATTGCTGTTGTGGGGTCAAGGCTTTTGAAAGCCCTCTCCTGTAGTTGGCCAAGGCCAAGATGGCCACCAAAAGGAAACTCTCAATTGCTGTTGCGGGGTCAGGGCTTTTGGAAACCCCCTACTGTAGTTGGCCATGGCCAAGATGGCCACCCAATGGAGAGTCTCCATTGCTGTTGTGGGGTCAGGGTGGTTGGAAGCCCTCAACCACAGTTAGTCACCCAATGGAGACTCTCCGTGGCTGCTGGGGGAATCCAGGCGAGAAGCAGGGGCTCACCCCTCACCTGGTGTTGTCCAATGGGATGCCTCCACCACCCTCCACTCACCTTCCTCCTGCACTCGGCCCCAGCCAGAGGCCCAGCAGGGGGCGCCAAAGGCAAAACGGTGCCCAGCATGGGGCAGGCAGATGGGGGTCACGTTCCGCCCAAAGGCCACGGGCTGTGCCAGGCGCACCAGGGCAATGTCATAGCCCTCCTGGTAGTTTGTGTACTTCTCATGGATGATGACATGCAACACCTTCCGCTCCAGGCCTGGCAGGTTCCCCCCACTCAGCTTGAGTCGACCTAGAACTGCCCTCCAGAGGGACACATCGTCGGTGCTGGCATTGCTGGGAGAGGATAGGGGACACAGGTTCTAGATCAGGTCTCAACCACCTCCCTCCACCCACAGCTGAGTCCTCCTGGTGGGTCTTAAACCCTAAATTCCCTGGTTCTGTCTTCTCCTCCCACTGGGGTTCTACAGTGGGTGGGTCTTGAACCCAAAACCTCCTGTTCTAGGTTGTCCAGCCAGCCTAGACTCTTCTAGACCCCTGCTTTTGGGGGGGCTTATTCTAGATTTCCCAACCTGGAGATGACATCTGCCACGGTCTAGGTGGCCCAACCCTGGACAAGGCACATGTCATATTCTAGGTAACCCAGCCAGGACATGACATGTAAGGCTCTAGGTGACCCAACCAGGAGATGACCCATGTGAGGTTCTAGGAGATTACACAGTTGGGTTCTAGGTAACCCACTCAGAGGATGGTATCTGAGGTTCTAGGTTAACCAATCAGTAGATGGTATGGGTGAATGTCTAGGTAACTCAAGCACCTGGTGTTCTAGGTACCTCAGCCTCGAGATGACACTCAGTGTTCTAGGTCCCCAACCCAGGGATGATGCACCCTATGTTCTAGGTCCCTCAAGCCCAGATGTGACACACCCAAGGCTCTACATACCTCAACCTAGAGATGACACCTAATGTTCTAGGTCCCCCAAAACGGAGAGGATGCACTCAGTGCTCTATGTACCCAACCCAGACACGAGGCACACAATGGTCCAGGTACCCGACCTTGAGAGGAGCCACCCAATGGTCAAGGTCCCCCATCCTGGAGATGATGCACCCAGGGTTCTAGGTCCCCCAACCCAGAGCCCCCATCAACCCCAGCGTGGCTTGAGACTCACCCCTCGAAGCAGTGGGCGGCTGAGAGCACCCAGTCACTGCTGATGAGGGATCCGCCGCAGATGTGCTCACCCGATAGCTGCAGGCTCACCTGCCATGGCCACTCCCCCATCACGGCATTGGTCCCTCCCACCACACGGGTCAGGACTCGCTGCTTGCCACAGGCCGGGCCTGGAAGGGGTGGGAGGTGATTGGTTGGCTCCCAAATCCAATGCTGGGAAGTGAGGGGAAGCTGAGTATTGCCCCCAGGGATCCACAGGATGGGGGGGTGGGGGGCGGAGCCCGGACACCTGGGTTTTATCCCTGGGTTTGCGAGGGGAGTGGGGTCTAATAGCATAGAGAAATGGGCCAAGGCTTTGGGCATCTAGTGTGTGTGTGAGAGACACTGGGTTCTCTGTGTGTGCATGTGCTGCACCCTTTAGGCATCTAGGTGTGCACAAGTACATGTGAGTGTGCTGCAACCAGAAGTGTGCCTCCAGGTGTGTGTTGTGGGTCCGGGGTGAGTGATATGGGAGAGTGATACAGGGACAAGGGATGGGCGGGGGGTCATGTGGCAGGGAACTGGGGTACAATGGTGGGGGCGGTGGGGCATAGCACAAGGGAGGATTAGACATAGGATTAGAAGATTAGGGAGTGGGAGGGCCTAGGGGACGGAGCAGGATGGGGGAGTAGAGAGAGTGGGGGAAAAGGTCTGGGATTAGAGAGATCAGAAACAGGTTAGGGTATTATAAAGGGATTAAAAGGGTATTAATCAATCAGGGGATTAATTAACAGGGGGATTAATTAATGATTAATATGGATTAATCCATATTTGAAGGTGGGATTATGGGATTCGGGGGGCTCATACCTGAGGCTGTTGCTCCACTCTGGAGGCCTGTGGGGGAGAGACACACCCATGCAGGGGTGAGACACAGCGCCCTCCTGCCTGTGCTGCGGTCACCCCTATAGTGGTAGTGCCCCCTCAGGACCTCCCTCCAAGCCCTCCCCCCACCCCCAGAAAGGTTCCCCCTCAGCAGGGAGAGGGGAAGAGCCCTAGGCCGGACTTGCTGCCACCCGCCCTCCCGCCGCCCTGAGCTATTTGCCTTGGGCCGGGGAAGCTCCCCCGGCCACCCCGACCCCACACCGCCTTGGGAAGGGGAAGTGCAGGGGCAGAGAGGCTGGAGAGGGGACCCAGGTGTCCACACACACACACACACACACACACACACACACGACCTAGGTGTTCGGGGAGGGATGGACGCACACACGTAACCACACACGGGACCCAGGCATCCGGGACACGCGCGCACACACGCCCTGGGGGGCAGGCATTGCTGGGAACCCAGACGCCTGGGTCCCCACCCCATGCCAGCTGGCCCAGGGGCACGTCCCCAGCAGGTCCAAGGTCCAGCCCCTCCCTCCTCGCCCCCCTGGCTCCACCCAGCCCCTGGGGCCAAGGGATTTAGGAGCCGGCACAGCGCCAGCCAGCACCCGGATACAGGCGGACGGCGGGGCCCAGCCCCCCGCCCAGGGTCTGGCCAGTGTGTTTGCCAAGGGAGGGCCTGGGCACCTGGATGCCTTGGTTCTCCTCTGCGAGGGGAGTGGGGGGCCTAGAGCAGGGAGGGGGAACGCGGACACCTGGGCTCTCTGGGATGACAGTGGGGACTGAGGGGTGAGAGCAGGGTGCTGGGAGCCCAGGAACCTGGGTTCCCTCCTCCATATACCCCCTGCCCCCCACTTCCCATCACCCCCCAAGACTCACAGCTGAGGAGCAGCAGCAGGGTCCCCGCCTTCCGTCCGTCCATCCTGCCCAACGCCTCCGCTGCCCACCGCCCATGCCTTATATCCACCCTGGGTCGTCTTGCCCCATCACGCCTCAGCCTCACACCCACGTGAGCCGGGCGTGTGCCAGCCGCCTGCTCACGCCTGCCTCACCGCAGCTGTGCCACCCCCTGGGCATTGATACGGGAACTACCTGCCTCTCACCTGCCCCACGGGGCTGGGTGGGGACCAGCCAGCTCATCACTTCCTCCCCCTGCCTGGAAACTGAGGGGCGGGGGGGGAACTGAGGCAGGGTGGGGAGGGGGAACTGAGGCAGGCTGGTTATTTTGGAAGGCAGAAGTGCTTGCTTCTCCGGTCCACTTTCCCCCAGACCAGGCATGAGTCATATTTGAGGCATGTTGTATGCTTAGAAATATGGTAGAGGGGCCTGTTTCTGGAGGTATCAGACACCTCCTTCAGTGGGGAAACTGAGGCACACCAGTGAAGCGGAAAGCAGATGCCTTCATGCTGCCTTCCCCAAGTGAGACCTATGTTGTATTTGTAGGTAAATGGGTATACTAATCAATATGGTAATTGGCCTGTTTCTTGGGCTGGCATAGCCCTCAGCTCTTCAGACCCCACTTCAGTGAGGAAACTGAGGCACACCAGTGAGGTTGAATGGAGACCTCTTCATTCCTCCTTCCCCAGACAAGACCGGTGTCATATTAGTGGGCACATTATATACTCAGAAATATGGTAATTGCCCTATTTCTTGGGCCATTATAGCCTCCGGCTCTTCAGCTGCCCGTTAAGGGAAGAAACGGAGGCACACCAGCAAGGTTGAAAGAAGACATCTTCATTCTCCCTTCCCCAGCCAAGACATGTCTTGTATTTGTAGATGCATTGTATATTCAGAAATACGGTAGATGGGCCTATTTCTTCCAGTATCATAGCAACCAGCTCTGCAGATCTCCACCTCAGTGAGGAAACGGAGGCATGCCTGCAAGGTTGAAAGAAGATGTCTTCATTCTCCCTTCCCCAAGACGTTATATTTGTAGATGCAGTGTACACCAAGAAATGCAGTAGATCAGTGTCTTTTTTGGAGTATCAGAACAACCAGCCCTTCAAAACCGCCTTCAGTGAGGAAACTGAGGCACACCAGTGAGGTTGAATGGAGACCTCTTTCTTCCTCCTTCCCCAAACAAGGCTTGTGTCATATCTGTAGGCACATTATATACTCAGAAATACGGTAATTGGCCTATTTATTGGGCCGTCATAGCCCCCAGCTCTTCAGCTGCCCATTAAGTGAGGAAACTGAGGCACACCAGCATGGTGGAAAGCAGATGTCTTCATTCTCCCTTCCCAGCCAAGACATGCATCGTATTTGTAGGCACGTTGTATACTCAGAAATATGGTAGATGGGCCTGTCTCTTGGGGTATTGTAGCAACCAGCTCTTCAGCCCCCCATCAAACGAGGAAACTGAGGCACACCAGTGTAGTAGTAAGCAGATGTCTTTAGTCTCCCTTCCCAGACAAGACACATTATAGTTGTAGGCACATTGCATACTGAGAGATACGGTAGATTGGTGCCTATTTGGGATCTCAGAGCAGCCAGCCCTTCAGACCCCCCCTTCAGTGACGAAACTGAGGCACAGCAGTGGGGCTGAATGGAGACCTCTTCATTCCTCTGTCCCCAGCTAAAATGTGTGTCATATTTGTAGGCTTATTATATACTCAGAAATACGGTAATTGGCCTATTTATTGGGTTGTCATAGCCCTCAACAATTCAGTGCCCGCCCCCCCCCCATTCAGTGGGGAAACTGAGGCACACCAGCAGGGTTGAAAGAAGACCTCTTCATTCCCTGTCCACCAGCTAAGACACGTCATATTTGTATGCACGTTATATACTAAAAAATACGGTAATTGGCTTGTTTCTTGGCCTGTACTGGCCCCCCTGCCCCACTTTTCAGCCCCCCTCATTCAGTGGGGAAACTGAGGCACATGAGCGGGGTTGAAAGAAGACATCTTCATCTCCCCCTCCCCAGCGTCATATTTGTAGGCACGTTATATACTCTAATATACACTAATTGGCTTGTTTCTCATAGCCCCCAGCTCTTCGGCTGCCCATTACGTGGGGAAACGATGCCGCGGCTAGTAAAGCGACCAAAACGCTGGCTTGCATCCATCGATGCTTCGCGAGCAAATCCCGGGACGTCATTCTCCCCCTGTACTCGGCCCTAGCGAGGCCGCAGCTGGAGTACTGCGTCCAGTTTTGGGCTCCACAACTCAAAAAGGATGTGGAGAAGCTTGAGAGAGTGCAGAGAAGAGCCACGCGCATGCTCAGAGGTCAGGGAAGCAGACCCTACGAGGGCCGGCTGAGAGCCCTGGGGCTCTTTAGCCTGGAGAAGCGCAGGCTCAGGGGTGATCTGGTGGCCACCTACAAGTCTACCAGGGAGGACCAGCAGTATGTGGGGGAACGTTTGCTCACCAGAGCGCCCCAAGGCATGACGGCTAGGTCGCACGGTCAGAAACTACTGCAAGACCGTTTCAGGCTGGACAGAAGGAAGACTTTCTTTCCTGTCCGAGCCCCCAAGGGCTGGAACAGCCTGCCGCCGGGGGTGGTTCAAGCGCCCACACTGAACACCTGCAAGGCGAAACTGGATGCTCATCTCGGTGCGATCCTATGAGCCCAGCTGAGTTCCTGCCCTTCCTTGGGGCAGGGGGCTGGACTCGATGATCTTCCGGGGTGCCTTGCAGCCCGAATGTCTATGAAATCTATGAAATCTATGAAACTGAGGCACGCCAGTGGGATTGAATGGAGAGCTTGCGTTGCCCCATCCTCAGTGAGGTGTGTCATAGTTGTAGGTGCATTACATACTCAGAAACATGGCAGAGGGGCCTGTTTCTGGGCGCATTGTACCCATTGACCCCCCCTTTCAGTGAGGAAACTGAGGCACATCGGTGTCATTGAACACAGCCCTCTTTATTCCACCATCCCCAGGCAAACTGGGGGACGCAGAGGTAGGCACATGATACCCCCATAAATACAGTAACCAGCCCTGAATGGAGTGGGGGGGTTGGGCATGATACCCCCACAAATACGGTAACCAGCACTGAATGGGGGGGAGGTTGGGCGTGATACACGCATAAATACGGTAATGAATGGTGTGGGGGACCTGCCCCACCCGCCAGCTCAGCGTGCGAGAAGGGCCCGGGGGAATTGTGAGTCACGTGTGTGTGCGCAGACGGGCACGGCTGGGCACGCTCAAGGCAGGGCGTGTTCGGGGGGAGAACCCATGTGCCTCACTTCCCCCCCCCCCCCCTAAAAAAATCCAAGGGTCCAAGACCCCCCCAATAAAAATGAACCCAAGGTTGCCCCCAATAAATAAAAAAGACCCCGGGTGTCCGGGACCCCCCTCAGGAAGATCCCCGGCGTCCGCCCCCCACGAAGCCGATGCCGGGCACGTGCTGCTGGATCCAGTCCCGGTAGGTTGCCAAGGCGATGTAGACCCCCGGGCGGTTGTGGCGGGCACAGCCGTCACCCCAGCTCACCACGCCAGCCTGCACCCACGCGGCCCCCAGGGGGCAGACGAGGGGCCCGCCCGAATCACCCTGTGCAGGGAGAGAGCGGCGGTTAGCGGCTGCTGGCTCTGCGATGGGAACGACTGCATAGAACAGCTGAGATGCAGCTGGCTCTGGGGTGGGTGGGTACAACGGCATATTAGAGACCTGAAATGCAGCTGGGTCTGGGGTGCATGGGTGGAAACAGCTGCATATAATAGTAGTGAGATGCAGCTGACTCTGGGGTGGGAACCGCTGCACGGAACAGCCCTCAGATGCGGCTGACTCTGGGCTCCCTGGCCGTGGAGAACACCCCCACCCCCTGCGCCCCGTAACGGCTGTCTCTGGGGCGCGCGCTCACCTGGCAGGCGTCCCGCCCCCCCTGGGGGTACCCGGCGCACATCATGTCCTCCTGGATGTCGCGGGCGCCGGGCAGCGGCGGGGCCCCCTG